GGATGCTCTGAGTATATTGATCAACAATCAACAGCAAAAATGGACGGTTGAACTTAACAACAGGAGGAATGGAATGAGGAAGAAAATCTATGCCAGTGACTGCTGCAGCCTCTGTGCCATTCTCATGAATCTTCAGCAGGGCCTTGTGAGCAGCCTACAATAAAATACAGCAAGAATTAATGTATCTGGAGGATGTAACGTGAAATGATTCAAAGTAACACTAAGTTAATTCAACCTTTCACAAAAACTGCTGGTAGGCCAGGAACCAGGAAGAAGGGCACTACAGCTCAGGGTGGGTTTTTAGAAATGGTGTCTCAATAAGCAAGTATTATCACATTCAGTGTTCCTCACCACAAGTGTATCCAACACAGACCTTAGCAACTGAACACCTTGTAGAATTAACTGAATACTCAAGCAAATTCACAAAGAATGACAGTTTCAAATGAAAAGGAAGTCAGGCTTCAGAGCCGCTCTGCATGTATTCCTAATGGCACATGCATTACAGTTTAGCCAGTAGCTACAACCTTGATACCAAATATTTTCTTTAAATATTTTTGGGCATTTTTTATATTTTCCTTTTACTAGCCCCAAAATGTTAGAACACTGTAAGTGCTGCTTTCAGAGCAGCTGTAAGAATGCTAGACTTTATCTTCACAAAATTTTTGGTAAATGGGATGTTTTCCTCAGATGTGGTCCATCTTACATTATTAGCACATATCAGAGCCTTCAATATTAACAGCAGTTTTAAAATGCTTTAAAATTATACGATGAATCTTGTAAAAAGGCCGCTTTTTCAGGTAAGTATGCTGATGCAAGACATCCTCAACAGAGTTATCCATAGACACTTCTTTCACATGCAGAAAATGCTCTGTGTTGTTTCCAGTAAAATGCTAAACCCACCTCTCCACCCACCCCACACCTTTGGCTATCAGACAAAAGACAGATCTTGTCTCCAGATCTTGGAGAAGTCTGAGAGAGTTTACAGTGACTTTATCAGCTAAATATTCTATTTCAGAGTATCAGCCAGCCCTAGTAATAAGTAAAATTTCACAACTTAGCCTAGGGTAAGGCACTTGGGTGTTAAGGAATCCACAGACTATTGTTTCTGCTAACAAACTTACTTTTGAAACCTTCACATCAAGGTTTCCTGTGATTCCAGACAGATCAGCTTGGTCAGAAAACACATCAGTTACACCCAGATTCATTAAGATCTTCTTTAAGTCATAGGTGCCCGAAACCGATAGTTTTGGAATATGCACTTCTATCCTCCTGTTAGTTCAAAAGAAAATTATGGTAGTTATTGCAACCAAAGCAAGCCTTGGACTGAAAATTCTCAACTTCTTGGTGGTTCTTCTGTGCTAAAATGTTAATCTTTTAATCTCAAAAGAGATAGCAAGAAAAAGAAGATGGAAGAGGGTAGTCTGGGGGATAAGGGAAGCATGGAAGGAGAAAAACATCAGTTGGGCTTTCTTGTATGATTCTGAAACATTGTCACTTGGTAAGACAGGAAAGAGTGGTGCTGCCAGCATTTTTGGGACTAAGTTTGCATTCCTTTTCTAACCTTGAAGGTTTTTCTTTTGGAATTTATACCCCATTCCCTCTGAGGGAATCTAGCTGCTATGTCACAGTGTTACCTCTCTTAACATAACGTGCTTAAGACAAAGAGAGATAGAGACACTTAATAACAGCTAGAAAGTATATGGGGGGAAAAAATTAAATTTTCCACCTCTTCTCTTGCCAGAGGGCAATGCTGATTCTAATTTCTGCTGAAAGTATCAAATCATCAAAACATTTGGTTTGACCCCTTACACTTATTCCATTGCTTAAACCTCCCGTCAACAGCACAGGCTTGTAACTGTAAAAACCAATCATAGTATTCAGACTTTGGATTCTGACTACCTCGAATCATCAAATTAAAATTCTATATTTACCATCTTTGAAATGATTTTTCCCATTTAGACACAGTGTCTTTTGTCAGGCTGCGTTCCAACTGCTTCATTTTTCCTTCATTGGGCAGGATAAACAGGGCTGCAACATCTCCCTTGTAAGGAATCTGCACCACCTCGCAAGACAGCTTCCTGTCAGAGTATACTTTATAAAATCCATCTCGAGTCATCATCTTCACTTCAACTGAGGTCTTTGCATTCACATGGAAATAATCCTTGTGGGTCCCCCTAATACTGAAAGGATTTTCCCAGTAAGCTTAAAACAAAAGAGAAATAATACAATTGAATACCAACTTCAAGGAGGATATCTTAATATTGTCTAGATTAACGTACACTAGATAAACCCATATCTGAAAATTTACACTCATACTTGAAGATAAAAGGTATTCCGAGTTTACTAAAGGTCTTGTTCCCTTCATCTTTGTTATACTGTGTTCAGCAACAACTAAATATCTCAGGTTAAATTTTATAAGGACTTGTACAACACCTTTCTAAAGCAGATAAATTATATGAAGTAACTTCCTCATATTTCCTTATGTTTTATTTGAAACAAATGAAAGCTGACCAGGATCCTGTTAATTGCTGTCTGTTTTCAGAATATTACTTGTAAAACAGATTTCACAGCAGATGTCTACCCTTTAAAAGGAAACATGTTAGGCTCCTTACATGTTTTTTCATATATTCTTCATCTTGTAGCACTAAGGAAAAGCTTAAATGCCAGAGCAACCTGAACTTTTGGATCTGAACATAACTACATTATGGTAAATAGAATAGAGCTTCCAGGTCTTTGATCTTCAAAGTGGTTTTCTCTTTATGTTTATTGAACTGAATCTTCTATGATATTTTATTTTGTATTAAAGCAGGTCACTGACTAAACAAATAGACTGGAATTACAGCTTGCCATTCTGTATATTTGGGTGGTTTTTTTTTAATATTGACTAGAAATAAACTATATTTGAAAAACAAATAATGGAATGTTAACTCCACAGTATTCGGATTGCTTTATAAACTTTCCTCCTTGCCCTCCAGAAAAGAAATATACTTTGCTATGGCACTCAGAGTAGCGTACTTGTGACTAGGGAATCCAAATTTAATTTAAGTACTTGAAATAAAATCCGTTTTGCTGAAAGTTCATCTATTTCTAAACATTCATTTCTGTGTGGAAATTCTATGTGTGTCCTGCATGCTGCTACAAATGGGTATAATATCTAAGAAGTTAATCATTGCCACAGCAATGCACTCACAAATACCTCTTGGGATATGTATAATGTGATGACATTTAGACTTCAACTCCAGAGGTACCTACCCATTTTAGACATGGACTGTAAGTAAATTAAAATTTTTGGCAATTTTTGTTAATCAGCATTTTTATAATTTAGTTTTCTACTTCATACAGCATGTGAAAACATTTTAATTTAAGAAATAATAAGTAGATGAAATCTGATGAAAAATTTAACAATGCATGAATCTGTTGTGCTCTGGAAATTCCCTATACTTGAAGATTGTAAACAAATGGACTTTTATGCTTAGGAGTCTAGACGTATGCTAGAAAAACTTAGACATGGAAGATGTTTCAAAGTGTGAGAACTTTCGATATTTTCATCATGTTAGACTCATCTAAACACTTACCTTTCTTTTAAAAATTATTTAAAAATAACTTGGCATATTTGTTTTAGTGTAGGTGAAGCAAGTGCTGCAGTAAGTAACATCTGTGTAACTTACCTTTGAAATAAATATAGTTAACGATTACCATTAGGGTGTTTGGATCAAGTTCTTTAAGTATTTGCTTTATATTCCCATGAGTTTTATTCTTTACATGATCATTGATTTCTTTTTTAGCTTCGGTGGAATTCTGGAAGTTACTAGAAACAACTTTTCCTCTGTACAGCTTTTTGATGTCCTTCAGAAATGTTTTCAGTGGCTTCAGGTGACTGTCCATGAACAGGGTGTTCCCCATAATCAGCTGTACCTGGCTGCCAGGGCGGTTCAGCAAGAGCAGGAGATGACGAAAGCCATCATGTATCTCCTCCTCTTGAATGTTGGTGAGGTTAAAGGCCAGCCCTTCCAGCACCTGAGCCTGGCTGGTGGCTCTGGAGCCCAAGGCCAGAAGGGCAAAGGCAGCCGAGATGCTGACTGGGGAAAAGAAAATGTTCTTGCCAGGTTCTTGGGTGGTTGCTTGCCTGTAAAACCGAAAGGCAAAGTCTGTGTTGCTGGGGACTATCCGCTGGCAGGACTCGAGAGGATCTCCCTCGTGGGAATGTAGCTCCTGGGGGTCAGTTGCATTGTTCTGGTCACTGGGGTGGTCAGTCTGGGTCAGGCTGTGAACACTGAGGTGAAGCATGGTCACCAGAAAGCACAGTGGAAGGGTGGCCTTCATCTTTCTTCACAGCTACTGCATGGACAAAGAACAAAATGATCTTGGATGCTGGAGGGCAGCTGTATCAACATCTCATCTTTTGTTTCTATTTGCTACTACCTTTAGCTGGTAATCACTGTTATCTCCTGACTTGATCCTTTGCTATGGAAGTGGTTTGTTAAATAATCTTCTTCTGAGTTTATCTGTAATTCCTATCCATTCTCTTGCTGCCTACTTCAGTTCTGCTTTACTCTAGCTACAAAAGTTCCTTGTTACTGGAGAAAGAAACATGTGGAGAAAGAAAGAAATAAGTGAGTATTAAAGAAAAATAAGAGTTGGAGGGAGAGAATGAAAGAAAAGTTTTTTTTTTCTCTTTTGTCTCTGTGTAAATCCACTTTATGGCAAGGCAGCACAGCAGAAGCATTGTGATTAATTCTTTTATGTTCATCTCTTAAGAACTCTTGGGATTATTATGTTATTTGGGGTTGAATGAGGCTTACGTTAAATGACAGTGCTATGTCAATGGAAAATATGAGATTGCAGCATTCAAAAGTGGTATTTTCTCTTTTTCGTGACTCATTTTAGCATACAAACTGACTAATTATGAGAGCTGGTAAAACTTTTCTGCTTCAATACCTGATTAGGTTAGAACATGTTTGTTTATTTTAAATGACTACTCATGTCACATGTTCCAGATGGGGGACACACACAGGAAAGAACACATCTGGTCATGGGAGGGCGAGGTCACTTGTGTGGACTTGGCCTCTCCTGTCGTTCTGAACTTGGTATCATCAGGAAAACCTCCTTTTGTAAGGTAAATGGGCCTATAGCCAGAGTAGCACTCAGCTGTGACATGGGACCATGGCATCTTGGACATTTGTAGTCACTGTGCCTGATTTTTTTTGTTTGTTTGCTTACTGCTTTCTCTCTTACCAGTTAGACCTAGAACATGTTGGGATGATTTGTAGTGTCTAAGAAGCTTAACCTGTCAGAAAACAGGTAGGAGCTATTCCCATTAAAAATATTGTACCAATGACAAGAAAAGTAACTCCAAATAGCCTTCACCTAATGTCCTACTTGAAGCGGAACAACTTCAGGGCAGAAAATCGTGAGTTACCTGCTCACCCCCCAATCAGTGGTAAATGCACTCAAAGCCATGGGTTCAGCAGAGCAGATGAGAGATTTACTGGTATTTTCCCCACCATGTGTCGGTACTCTGACCACTAAAATTTGGGTGAAAAGGAGCCAGCTTGTCCTTCTGCAGCTTTGCTCTATGTGGTCTAAGTGAATTGGGATTTGCAGGAGAAGCTGGCATAACAAAATCAATTTTTGAATTCTGTCTGGACCTTTGTGATGCAAGTCATTTACTCATTCACTTCAGTTTTGGTTACCTGGCTGTAAGCTTTTGAGAAATTCGTAAAGGTAAGTAAGATTGACAGTTAAGAAGTCAGAACACTTCCCCGTTGTTATTTAAACACATTTCTTCTAGATGTTTTCGAGCTATTTGGGAAAAATATTCAGAGCAGAGTTGTACTTGCGGAGCTGTTGTAATATATCCCCGGAATTTACTCTTCAGTATTTCCCGAAATAAGGTTCATCTATCATTTGAGAGCTTAGAAGCCAGGTTTCATCCTTGAGGGAAGATGTGCTTTATTACTCACTTAGCTAAATGCCAGACAGCTGCATAAAAATCATTAAGTTAAAGATAACTGGGTACTTACATTACACTCAGAAGGCTCTTGCTCTCTTATGGTTGTGCTGTTTCTGCTTTACTCATACTGCTGTTTTCCTCTGTTAAACATTACATGGCTTCAAATACATATTACCAAGAAGCACAAAGGTGAATGCTGATGAAGCTGGTTTTCTTGGATGTTATATGCATCTGTCCACATTTCCTCACTCTAAACAGAGAGCAAAGACCACAGGGCCCAGCTGGTCAGTAGACTGGAGTGTTACATTCAAAAAGGGTAAGCAAATATTTATTGGAAATGATATTTTGGTGCCAAGAGCAGCAGCTTTGCCCTATATGCTACCTGAGATGGATATAACTGTTTATCTGGAGACACAATTTTGTCCAGCACTAAGCTCTGAAGACCAGAGTGAGGGAGCTGCAAGGAGCACCACTTGTGCTCAGCCATGCTACCCAACCTACTGGACTCCACATATGTGTCAACATGTCTTTTATTTCTACACAGACCCCACTGGTCACTATTCAGAAGTTATCTTGGCCTCATAAACATTTACACTTCTGTTAAACATTATATGCATTAAAAAAAAAATGTCTGAAGACACAGACAAATGCTAATGTAGACATGCAGAGAAGGCAGAAGTCAGTGTTCACAGGGCCAGCTGGCTTTAACATTTGCTGTCCCCAAGATGCATAATTGCCATCTGCAAACACACTTTGAATAGGTGAGGTCCATGGCCATGGGCAGTCGTACTACCACATACACCTTTCTAGCTTATTGCTGACACAAGGAGTGACACAAGGAGCTAGTGACTCCTGAGGAGTGTTATGGCCTGCACTGGGGCTTTAGTTTTTTGATCATGCAGCTTGGGTATCTGTTACAACATACTAAACCAAGCTAACTTCCTCTTTTATGAAAAGTAGAACAGAAAAGGTAATTGGTGTGCAACTTGGTTTTTCTTCCCAAATGAACTTGGCAGCAGTTCAGAAACAGTCCCACACTCTGAGGCTTTCTTTGAACCTTCGTTTAGTGGCAACAGAAGAGGAAGCCTGGGCAGTGGAGTCTGCTGTGCAGCTACAGGGCTAGCTGAAGTGGAAAGTAACAGGAGAGAGACTCAGTGCTGTAAAGAATTCTATGCAAGGGTTGGGGTTGATTCTGGATTCCCTGAATGACTCTGAGATGAACAAAACCATGCTTCAATAGAGTGAGATAACTGTGTTAGAGACACAAACACAAATGTTTTTGCAGTTCATTCATTCATCTGTATTAGTCTCTTTTTGAAAGTCAACATGGATTGATTTTGAAACTCTTTAAAAATCTGCCTCTCTTTACTTCATTTATCCCATTTCTCAAGAGGTGGTGGCTTGAAAAAGAGGTTCATTGTCCTATCAAGGAGGTCAGCAGAAGTTTCTACAAGCCAACATCTGATCAACCACAGGGCTTGTTTCTGGAGAGAGTAATCTGGAAAAGGTGCCTACGCTGCTACCTTGTTTTACACCCTAGTTCCTTCCTAAACGTGACTGTACTTCTGCCATTTGACTCCAGTGCTTCTGTTACAAGCTGCCTTGCTCCTTTCATCAGCAAATGCTCAGCGTGCCTCTCAGGCGGCCCTGGCCATGTCCCCTGAAGGCAATGTGTGCCCTAAGCGTCATTCTATAGAAACATTTTCTAGGGCTGTTACAAAACTCCTGTTATTTTAGACATTGAAAGAAAAGCAGTGGTACCGTCTCAAAGCAGCAAAATATCAGTCTTAGCTGGGGAAGGACCTGGACCAAATGTTTTCAGAGCAGTCACAGCCACCCTACTCCAAATCTGTAACATCCACATTATCAAACATATATCTAGTACAGATGTATTGGCTGCCCCAAGACTGTCTTCATGTTCCATCCAAAAAGATGGTACATGCATTCCCAAAATTCACCACTGCTTACTCTGGCAACAAACTCTAGCTGAGAGGATGCAGTCATTATGGGGGAGCTGGGCAGTGGAAGCTCTGGAGTAGACTCAGAGTTAGGTTGAAGAACTTACCTAAAGTATATCTTGAAGTCATACATTATTGCAGTCAGGATTTCCCATTAATTTCCATTCTTACAACAGGACTGAAAGGTCTGCCTGCCCTTGGCCTTCAATTCAGCAAGGGAGGGGAAATGCATAGAAGGTAAGCCACAGTCAGTCTGGTAGTGGTTCACATAAGAATTTCCCCTGCATTTATTTTCCTAAAAAGACTTTTTTTATCTCTCTTATACCATTTGACAGAGCCCACTTGCTCCTTTATACTATAGATGGAGATTAATGAGGAGCTTGTTACTCTAGTGAGTTTTTAATAATTTGCATAATTTTTGGGGTAAACATATCCATTTCAAGCAATGATAATAGATGCTACAGATGATGAATGGTATTGTCAAATTATTCAGAAGAAACAAAGATCTATGATTCTTATTTAATCTAGGTAAAACTGGGGCTCACATGTCAGTCAAACATAATATAGCAGAAGTTCAGTTTCTGACTGCCACTAAAATCATTACTTCAGGATAAAAACTTTGGTATTTCATAATTTGACAATGTACTCAAAATTTTCCTTAGTTTTCTTTTAATTGTTACTTGTGTAAAAACACTCCTAACTAGCGAAGTTCAATGAGAAACTCAACTTGGTTATAAAGAAGTGTTCAAAAGGTTGTGTTACCATTTCCATATTACTAAGCCTTGAAAATAATAGCTCAGCTCTAAAGCCTCAGGAAAAAAAGATGTTTCCTTTCCATGTATTCTATTTATTGATCCTGAAGAAAACTGCAGGATTTATGTACTAAATACACAGTTTTCTGTATCATATAGAAGGTTAATTTCTCAAACCAGAATGGCTGGAATCAGATTTTCTAAATCCATGTTTATGAACTAAACCAAAAATGGCTTAGTAATCACCTATACTTCATGAATACATTGGTAGACGTTTGAAAGATATGTTAAGGTGTGTGATATTTGCTGGCCAAGTTATGTTTTTATACTGGAGCCCTGATGTTATTAAAAGAATGTAATTTTAAAACTCCAACTTTGAAAACTCTAGTTATGCTAGTGGAAAGTTTGTCCATGAAAAAGTGTTACTGATCCTAAGCAGTTGTTATTTGATATCTTGGTTTTGGTTTTGTTTTGGTTTTTTTTAGGTAGGAATGATTGCTTTAAAAGAGGCTTTTTAAAAACGGCAACCTAAAATCTTATGTGAGACATGCAAACACAGGCTCTGGATGCGCTAAATGTCTCTCACTGGCTTGTTTCATTTTTCTCTTTAGCACATTTGCTAAAGGAACACAGTTTTGCTCTTAGTTCTAATATAAACACAGTTCATGTGCAAGGTCATTCTGATCTGGTGTATTGTGTTTATTCTTCCAAGGGAGAAAACCATGTGGATTTTTGTAATTGATATTAAAGAAAACTCTAGTCTCATGTTTTCACTTGGTTAGGATTGTAAGCATTGCTGATTTCTGTAAGCAGTTACACAGTGGTTATTTAATGAGCCATGCCTAACAAAGTAATAAGGTTTAATTAGCCCAGCTTAATTTGGCAGCCTGCTGCTGGCACACTGTTTGTACAGCTGGCTAGTGATGCATGTATGCATATGAAATAAAGATCACTCCTTGAAGTTTTTCTTTGCTTTTCAAATATTGTGTAGTTGAATTTCATGTTTTCTCATACAGACTCAGCTTCCCCCACACAGGAGAAAAACAGGTCTCAGTCAATAAGATTAACATGTTCTTCATTTTGAGTTTCGGTAGAGGCTACTTTCAAGCTTAACATTGGCAATGCCTATACAAATTTCATATTTCTGTTGTTTAATCATGGCAAAAATTTGGGTCACACGGCAAACCAAAACCTGCATGAACAAGATCTTAATCTTGTTTCAGGGTGCAAAAGCTCCAAGTAAAGCATATAGATAGGCTGCTTAGGGCAGGATTAGGTCTACATAGAGATAGTAATTGATTAATGTTTATAGCATCTTCATTTATACTTTAAAAATAAGATTATTATTTTGTTCACATATTGATATGCACTATGCCTTACATGGATTTCCAAACCTGAAACTCTGAGCCAAGCTGCTTTTTTTTTTTTTT